TATATATATATTAGGGATGCACTGATACCAATATTTATATTTCAGAACTTGCTGATACCGAGTACCGATACCGCTACTTCAGCTAGCATGGAATTTGCTTGCACGCCGGGCGGCGTGTCATTACCCGCCACCCAGCTTCTTAATTGTCCAGGAAGCTGGCTTCATGCTGTTTGGCCAGCTCCATGCTGATTGGCCCGGGAGGCACGGCTTCCCAGCCAATCATCATGGAGCCAGCTTCCTGGGTCAATCAGGAAGGCGGGAGGCTGTTTGGCCGGCTCAATACTGATCTGCTAGGGAGGCCGGCTTTCTAGCCAATCAGCATTGCGTCAGCTTCCCGGCCAATAAAGAACATTACCCGCCGCCCGGCTTCCTGATTGGCCGGGAAGCCGGCTTGATGCTGTTTGGACGACTCAATGCTGTTTGGCTGGGAAGCCAGCTTCCCGGCCAATCAGCATCAGGAATCGAGCCGGCCAAACAGCATGGAGCTGGCTTCCCTGCCGATCGGGAAGCACGATTACTTACCCAAATACTTGCTATCGGCACCGATACCAATACTAGTATCAGTATCGGTTCATCCCTAATATATATATATTATAATAGCATGGCTTGATAGAACAGTTAACAGATAAGGCTTTTTATCCAATATATACAAAAGCTTCAAAAAGATTCACAGCTGCCACTACTGGTATAACCAAGTCAGACATACACCTGTCGTCATGTCATCAGGAGATCAGCATCATAAACCTTCTGTTGTAAGAAAAAGAAAGGCAAAATGCTATTGGGCTTATTTATTTAAACAATACAAGGAGCAAAGTACTACAAGCATTTCCTGCAACCCTAGCAGCCTATCAGAAGTAATCTTGTTTTAGCATGGCTTCAGTGAAGTGAATTGCTTTTTATGGATTACTGCAACTAGTGGTTTCCACCTTGTAGTATCTATTAGGCCAGGGGTCAAAATTTCAAGTCCTGAGCTACTAGCCAGGCTTTAAGAGTTACTCGCCACCAGTAGCCTGTATTAGGCCATATGTCTTATTATGAAAATGAGTACTGGTAAGAAGAAATGTTAGGATTGTATATTTGAAAATGTGTCACATAATAGCTTATCTGTATTATCCTGCCCAATATGACATTTCTAAAACAATATACAGAAATACATTTTAATGTGTTTCAACTGCTTTTTCCAATGCAATCTATCATTAACCAAACCAATTATGAATGTAGTATGAAATAGAAATGTGCACTGCCAAAAAATTCGTTTAGTTTCGTTTCGTTTTAAATTCGGATTTGTGTTATTTCGTTTTACGGGATTCAGGTGTGAAAGTCAATTCGGATTCGGACAAAATTCGGTAGCGGTAGGTCGAATGTTCGTTTCGTTTTCGGTTCTTATTCGTTTCTTATTCGTTTCGTTCGTTCGTGACATTTGAGGGGGAAAAAATATTTTTCTCCTTCTCTAATGTCACTTTGCTCCAACGAACGAAACGAATAAGAAACGAATAAGAAACGAATAAGAAACGAAAACGAAACGAACGTTTGAACTACCGCTACCGAATTTCGGAAATGGAAATTCGGATTCGTTTGCATTCGTTATGTCTGTAATTCGGAATTCGGATACATCCGAATGTCCGAATTTCCGAAAATTCGTCCGGTCGATTCGGAACGAAACGAATCGCACATGTCTAGTATGAAAGTACATTTTAGTTAGTGGTATGATATGCAGTATCAGCATACCTGTCCTATAATTTTGTCTAGACTAACAACTATGAACAGATATATATTTGATACAGTTTACGCCACTCTTATTTATACCCCATTCAGACCAATTTTTATATATGGAAAATATTGTTTAAATGGAATGTTGAACTTAATCTTGTTTTTTACAAATTTTAATAGGGATTGCCTGGACTCAGTGGTAATCCTGGAATACCTGGCTCTAACGGATTGAAGGTAAAAAAAAGTTTATGCATATATTATTATCCAGCAGTAGTTTCGTTCTGTCTCATTTTATGTGAATTAAGCCTTGCCAAAAGACTGCAGTGCATACTGCTGAGGCTTTCAGCCTACCCTGTATAGTGTTCAGCTGAGAACAAACATGTTACCAAGCCTCCACATCAATTTCTGTTGCCACCAACTTATCAATATAACCAGCTCAGACAATAAAATGTAATTACTTCAGTTGTTTTAGCCAGATCTTGTAAGCCATGAGTGGCACTTTCAAGGAGAATTAATAAAAAGTTTTGCATCCTGTAACATGAGGCATAGTACATTTAAACAAGAGCTCTTTGAAAAAAGTAGTATTAGATGATGGGCTTCATTTGTATAAATGTGTACTCATACCAGTGACTGTTTCTGCTTATAGCAACCAATTAGAATCAAATTGCAGTGAGAATTCGTAAACTATTTCAATTTTCTCTACTTTGATATAAAGACTGCTATGTACTATTGTTTCTGTTGTGTTTTTTAAAGTGCAAAATACATTTCAAATGCTGAATTTTTAGAGTCTTCATACTAAGAGAGCTTACCCTGGTATCATAGTCAATGGGTACAGACAGGTTATTATGACTGATTTAATTAGAATACCACATCAGCCCACGCAACTTCCAGCATGTCTCTGTGATTTATTATCAGGATTTACCACATCCCATGAAATACTAATTCCATTTTAAAAGTTTATTGCTGTCTAGGGTAAAGAAACTTTTCAAAGGAAACTTTGCTTTGTGGGAATCCCCATCTGTGTAACAGACAAATTATAAAACGAACTGGCTATACAAACAATTAGAGCATTAGTCATGGGACTATCGTCTATTGCCTAAAGCTGCAGAGTTCTTGTTCTCTGCTTACAGGTGACATGTCTGATGAAAATATAACTGCTCCAAAGAATCAGTAGCCTTGGATTACAAACAGCTAAGGAAAGAACAAAGCATGCAGATAGAATGATTCACAGCTCATTATGCTAAGAAGAATGTTAATTAGTGGTGTCAAGAATTTAAAGGTACTTACTGTAAAAACAACCCCAATTCCAAAAAAGTTGGGATGCTGTGTAAAATCTACATAAAAACAGAATGCAATGATTTGCAAATCTCATAAACAAATATTTTATTCACAATAGAATATAGAAAACATATCCAATGTTTAAACTGAGAAAATGTAAAAAAAAAAAATAAGGTCACTTTGAAATTGATGGCAGCAACACATCTCAAAAAAGTTGGGACAGGGCCATGCTTACCACAGGGTAGCATCCCTTCTTCTTTTAACAACACTCTGTAAATGTCTAGGAACTGAGGAGACCAGTTACTGGAGTTTTGGGAGAGGAGTGTTGTCCCATTCTTGCCTGATCTAGCATTCTAACTGCTCAGCTTTGTCATTTTTTCATTTCAAGTTGCACCAAATGTTTTCAATTGGTGAAAGGTCTATACTGCAGGCAGGCCAGTTAAGCACCCGGCCTCTTTTACTATGAAGCCATGCTGTTGTCATAGATGCAGTATGTGGTTTAGCATTGTCTTGCTGAAATATACAAGACCTTCCTGGAAAGACATCGTCTAGATGGGATCATATGATACACTAAAACCTGGATATATCTTTCAGCATTCATGTTTCTTTTCCAGATGTACAATCTGCCCATTCCATACGCACTAGTGCACCCCCATACCATAAGAGATGCAGGCTTTTGAACTGAACGCTTATAACAAGCCAGAAGGTCCCTCTCCTCTTTAGCCCAGGGTGGCAAAAAAGAATATCAAATTTCGATTCATCTGACCACAGAACAGTTTTCCTCTTTGCGACAGACCATTTTAAATGAGCTTTGGCCCAGAGAAGACAGGCAAGGCAATTCTGGATCATGTTCAGATATGGCTTCTTCTTTGCATGATAGGGCTTTAACTTGTATTTTTGTACGGCACTGATTTATGGAAGTATTCCTGAGCCGATGCAGTGATGCATTTCAGCCTTGCCTTGCCTTGCATTTCAGCCTTGTCCCCTGCACACAGAGATTTCTCCAGATTCTCAGAATCTTTTCATTATATTATTTACTGCAGATGATGATATATTTAAAGTCTGCAATTTTATATTGAGGAACATTATCCTCAAATCCTTCGACAATTTTTATTCACACCTCTTCACAAATTGGTGAACCTCCGCCCATCTTTGCTTCTGACACACTCTGACTCTCTAATGCTCTTTTTATACCCAATCATGTTACTAATTAACCTAATTAGTTATAAAATGTTCTTCCAGCTCTTCCTTGTTAATACCACTTACTTTGCCAGCTTTTTGTTGTCCTGTCCCAACTTTTTTGAGACATGTTGCTGTCATCAATTTCAAAATTACCTTTTTTGTTCCCTAAAATGGTGCATTTTCTCAGTTTAAACATTTGATGTTTTCTATTTTCTATTGTGAATTAAATATGGGTTTATGAGATTTGCAATTAATTGTATTCTGTTTTTATGAAGATTTTACACAGCGTCCTAACTTTTTTGGAATAGGGGTTGTATATAAAACAAGTTAACTTTAGACAAGAGAGTGTTTTATACCA